TGGGAAAAGGATTGCTTCCCTTATTAAATCCCATGGCTCTAAGTAAGCATTGAGTTACAGCTTTATTTTTAGCTACTCAAAAGACACAGAATTCCACATTAATAGGATATCTAAGAATAAACAACAGGGACCAGGGAAATGAAGGCTGGGATTCAGACCTTTTGAATCACATAATGAATTAGTGGCAAACTGAGTCTTCTGAATCAAAACTAAATTCAGTTTTCTTTACAAATAATCAAAGTTGGAATAGTGATCATTGCCTTATGATGGTAACCTGATACAAAATATATCAAGAGCAAACAGACAACCAATCTGCAAGCAAAAAATCAGTGAAGCCATTAATGGAAACCTTTGCAAAGGCACAGATTAAGGATGATGGTAACAGCATGTGTATTTGACTATTTACTGCTAGCTAGTGATTTTGCATCTTTCATAGAGATTTCGCACATATCATCCTCTTCACATACCATATTGTGTAAGGTAATGCTACAGAAGTGATTGCTCTGTAAGAATTGCTAGTTCAGTTAAGATGCGTTACTATCTCAGAGGCAAAATTTTGACGTTCTCACATGCTGCTTCCCAGACATGTTACCAGATACATGAGGACAAGAGAGAAACACAAAGGAAAAACTCAGACTGATAAAACATGAGTTTGTTAACAACATTTAGAGGAAAAGGAAAAATTGCACTGCATAGAGATTCAAATGTGACAAGGTTTCATCATCACAAAACTCCAGCTCTACCAAGTCTGCACACATCAGTTTATACCCGGAGATGTAGGAGAGGGTTTCAAGCCTACAGGCTACATGAAAAACTCAAACATCTCAACTCATCACCACCACTGAAAAGCTTTCCAATAGTGTGCTTTGCCAGACTCAAATTTTGCAAGATATCATCCATGGAAACCAGTGACTCCCCACCACTTGTATAGAAGATTTAGACAAGCCTCTGTCAGGAGAAGACTAATCAACCCTGCCTCCAGTCTGGGAATAGGAACTGCTCAGAATCTCTTCCACACTTGCGTACAGAAGGGGGCGACAAAGTTGGTGGAAGGGCTGGAGGGCATGTCTTGTCAGCAGAGGCCAAGGACACTTGGGTCTGTCTTGTTTGGAGGAAAGGAGGCTGAGGGGCAACCTCATTGTTCTCTACAGATTCCTGAGGAGGGGAGATGGGGAGAGAGGTGCTGCATCTCTTCTCCCTGGGATCCAGAGCCAGGACACATGTGAGTGGTTCAAAGCTGTGTCAAGGGAGGTTCAGACTGGACGTTACGAAGCATTTCATTACAGAGAGGGTGGTCAAACACTGGAACAGGGTTCCTAGAGAAGTGGTCGATGGTCCAACCCCATCAATGTTTTAGAGGCATTTGGACAATGCCCTTAACAACATGCTTTAACTTTTCATCAGCCTTGAAGTGGTCTAAGTGGACTAAGAGGTCCCTTCCGAATGGACCCTTCTGTTCAGTCCTGTTCTATTCATTCTGATGCTGGAGGTTCCAAATACATGGCTGCTGCAGGACTGCTCAGCATCTTCTGAAACTCCGTGTCTAACCAAATCAGGAAGGCTGCGCCCTGCTCTTGCTTTACATTCTATTCAAATATTTTCCTTTAAATTATATTCTGCATATATTATTAGGAATATCAAATCTGAAGTCTAAATCTGACTATATTAGAAGGTATTGCTGTTAAATCAGTAGTTCCTAAGAGCTGTTGTGGCAAAGCATGGACATTAATTGCCAAGCTGTCATTCACAGATCTTAATGCAGAGAGGCACATCTGATGTTAAACAGCCGGCCAATCACCATTGCCTAAAACAGCATCTCTGTGGCACAGGGGGCAAAGGGGTGCCATAGGTGTTCCCAAAAACATGAGGGCATTTATCCCGCTCACCCGCAGTACTTCACTTCTGCTTAACAGACTTTGTTTGGTCTTGTTTGTCTGGTGGGTTTTTTTGTGGCATTATCAGTTCTCTCAAAGAGAGCAGGAAGTGAGAGGTACACTGATGACATTGTCTGGAGGTACATAAATATACTTTATGAATATCTGGAGCAATTTCACACTGCCATCCCCTCATATTTTAGCCATTTTTATCTTTGATTTTTTAAGCTTGTCTCAGACCAAGCCTATGTATCATTTTGGAGCCTGGTGTCTCCAAGCTGATGGAATTCCATGGAGTATTTCTGTGATGCAGTGCTGCTCCATACAACCACCCTGTGTCCCTGTGGGCACAAGGCACAAATTGCTCCCACAGCCGCAGCTATCAACTGCCTCACAGCCGATTCCAGCGCTAGGAACAAGGCATGTCCACAATCGCAGCCAATGGTGGAACGAAAACCTACTGTTCTGAAGCAAGAGGCGATCTCTAGATCAGACAGCGTACCTACTCACAGCTCTGACTTTGACAAGTCAGCAGAGACATTTACATCTACAAACAGCGATCTCTTCTGTAACTATCATCTTGTTCATTTTTACTAACAGTATGTGAAAACTCTAAGGTCTGAAATGCAAACTTGACACACTGATTGCTTTACCAAGTGAAATCAAAGTGCACTTAATATCATACCACTGTGAAAACACTGGAGAAATGATACATGGACAATTCTATGTCGTGTTTCTTAGAATTTTGACCAGCAAGGGAACCATAAATGTTATTTTCAGCAAAAAAATAATTTTCTAAGGTTGAAAACAGCTGGAATAGTACAGACAATTAACAGAAAAAAACATTCTGTAACAATTACAGCCCCTAAATCAATTTGGCTGGTTTTGACCGTGTCCTTTAATAAGCTAGGACACAAAAGAAGTGGCCTTTTATAAGCAATCTCCACCTACCAGCAAGACCTGTTTTCTGCAGGTCAGATATAGAGTATCCTTGAAACATACAATCAAGAATACTTACTACTTCCCTTTCAAAGGTACTTTTTTCTAATTGCCTATGTGTCATTTTCACTTAAAAAAAAAAGTAGAGAAATACTGGAAAATTCTCATGAACCGGAAACCCATACAAACTTAAGGATGGGCTCAAGGACAGGTGACAGACTGAAAATTATATAAGTTTTGAAAGATGCCAAGATTGAACTCAGAGGAACAGAAGTCTCAAATGTATGTTTTGTGAAGAAAAAAAAATAGGATGAAAGTGGTGGAAAAAGGGAGTTACTAAATCTACCAGCTGTAGAAGTATTTTGCTCAAGCACCACATTGAGAAAATATTTTGCATTGTTAGGTATATTTCCCTGTAACAAGAAAATTCCCAACCACATGAAACCTACATTTATCCCTGAAAAAAATATAAAAGCAAACCAATTCATGAGAGTTTAATTTCAATAGAAAGAAACCTGTGATACAGTGAGGGAGCTGTTCTTTCCACAGGATTGTCGGAGTTGGAAGGGACCTCTAGAGATCATCTAGTATGTGACCGCTCCCAGTGGAAAGAAAAGGACTGAAACATGAATGGGGGGCAATGGATTGGGGTGCTGCAACAAACTACCCCAGGGCCCAAGACTCTCTGTGCTCCCTGTTTTGCTGCAGCTGCTGACACATCGCATGCCTCAGAAGGGGGCTATGTAAGTAAGGACAAAGAAAAGGAATCACAGAGAGAAATAACCACAAACATTATTCTTGGATACCTACCCTTTGTCCTGTGGATACTCCCACTTTACCCTTGTTTGGGAGCAGTTTCAAGCTTAGCTGATGGCAATCTGCAGTGAATTCCTGTTTTTTTGATGCAGCATTTTTAGTAAGTCAAGCCAAATCACAACCGACTCAGACAAGCACTAGGGACAGGGGGTATGTGCCTCTCCTTCTAAACTCACTGGAGCACACTTCACTCAGGGCTGCAGGATTCCACGCCAGGCATCCAAAACACAGATGATGCAAATATGTCACAATGCCCACGTTTCCTTGTTCCTCAGAAACAGACTTCTTCTCATTCCTTCCATAAGGCAATACACATTTATAAGTGACCTTGTTTTAATAATGTAAGTACCGTACAGTTAAAAAGTCATTTGTCATACCATGGTTCTATCTACTCTGGGCAGCAACAAGCTTTTCTCTGTGTAATCCCTCTGAATGGGGCTATATATTCCTTTGCTAATGTAGTTCAGTCAGTCATGACCAGATCCCTTAAGCAATACAGGGAGAAATGCATCTGCTGTGTCATCTGTGTCAGCTTAGATAGGAAACTATTGACATTTGTGAACTAATAAGTGTAAAAGCTCAGTCTCATTACTCAGTAACTATCACTCCAATGCTTTACAAACCCCACTAACTATGCATAGTACTGCGGTCTTCAAAACAAAGACTTAGAAGCTTAAAACAAAATCCTCACCATTTGAGCCTAACCAATGCTGTTGACTTCCAATAAGAGCATGCACATGCAAAAATATTTGCCAGACTATAGCCAAAATTTAGCAGTGATTTTTAAAATTAAGAAAGTCAATTAATATGTTTAATTAGATTACACATTTTATTTTTCAAAAAATACTACACTCTAAAAAACATTTTTATAATATATAAAAAATCATTAAAAACCACATATAAGATATGCAAACACTAACATATTTTGAGAGTGGTGACGAACTTCCCAAGAAGGGGGTGGAAAGCGGTAACTTAATTCTTCCAAGAAATATTTTTTAAACTGTGACTTTCACTTGTGTTAAGAATCTATCCAAGATATCAAATTCTAAAACTGACATAGTGCTGCCTAGACTATTTTAACACCAAGAATTTAGATAGCAGAGAATTAAAATTATCACAAATCCACATCTCTGAGTACAATACATCAAAGAGCTGGTGATCCGACTTAATCACATTGATTAAATAATATTATTATTCAGTAGCATTTAAGGATGTCTAGCATTTTGCAGAATAAAAACAGGTATATAAACATGTATATAAACAGTCCTCCAAAAGGGATGATGCCATGCAGCTTTTGCTGCCCACCCTTTATTTATAAGCAAAAATCTTTCCAAAGTCTTCTCTTTCACATGGCACCTTGTCACTGATCATTTAACTGCTGGTAGCACTGGGATGCAGTGGTTTGACTCTTGCTAGTCTGGAGAGGCCAAGTCTAAGACACTGCGTAGGTGACTTAATCGAAACGTACTTCACAGAGTTATTAGTGCTTCCTGATGCAGCTGAAAATAATTTTGAAACAAAAAGAAGGTCTAAGACTGTTTTCTTTTTAACAGTTTTCATACCAGAACAGCAGAAGTACTCTAAAAAGATTACAAAAAGGTCTGAACAACATACCACAGAAGCACACAAAAATCAGCATACTCACTGGGAGTCAACCGGTTTGGGAGGCAATGCAGCAGGTACGGTGCATAGTTTTAATTAACCAGCAACACACTGCAGCAACACTCGACAACCACATAAAAACTGTTCCCAGTGCACTGCGCATTGTCAGGTGCTCCACAGAGAATCACACAACTGAACACAATTCCAAGTGAGAAACGAAGGCTTGAGAGAAAGGAGCCAAACAGAAAGAAATGTGTACAGAAAAGAACAGTAAATATGAAGGAAAATCAAAGTAAGAGGCAGAAGTAAGCAGCAGCGTGCTCAGACAGCTTAAGAAAAAAGTTTCTAAGCACACGTTTTACTAGACCAGTTAAAATACTCCAACATTTTTCTAGTATTGTTTGTTTAGAATAGACAATAATGCAGAATGTACCAGAGATAAAGCTCTTAGTAAGAAAGTGCTACAAAACAATCTCTTCATTAACATTTGATCCACACTTAAACAATCTCTTAGTTATCATTTGATCCACTAAAAAATGCATTTTATCAACCTCTCCACATAAAGGAGTTAAGGTAATGCTGTAAAAAGAAAAGCAGCACAGAGATAGCCTTCTTTTTCTTTTAATCTAAGGTAAAAAAAATACCATTCATTGTAAGAGGGCAGTCATTTTTCTGAGATAGTTTATTTGTTTGCTTGTTTTTAGGAGAGACTGCTAAGAACTTAAATCAACTACTATATCTGTTTCTAGTTATAATTCCACAAATACCTGGTGGTATCCATTTAGGCTTCTTCTCTGTTACAGGACTTGATGTATGCAGAGGCCTCCCAACTGGTTCTGAAGAACTGGACAGCATCTTTTGTGCTGGCTCAGATTTCTGTTCCATTACCCGTGAAGGAGAAACTACAGGTGATACTTAGTTGGAAAATAAAAGCGAATAGAGAAAGATAATCTTTAGCAGAGAAATTATCACACTGCATAAGATGATAAATCATTGTACAGCCTGAACTGCCTGCATTGCGTGAAATAATGTTACTAGATCCTTTTATCTTTAACAGTATATATTTATTCGGTCAGTCCTGCTAGACTCTGAAATTTCAATCCTGGTTTGAAAATAAGCAGAGTAACAACTCCTTCTTGAAGACCTGCCAGATACCGAATTTCTAAGAGGAAAGATTCTTCCATCAGCTACACAGAACTATTCCTTGTCATAACTAAAACTAATTTTAAACTAAATTACATGTTGTAAACTCAGGCCTCAAATTAAAACGCACTACCAAGTCAGACACTAAATTAACACCATGGCAAAAATTTTCTTAAGCTATTTAAACTAAAAAGTGTTAGCAACACAATGAACAGTTAATGCTGAACTGCAGGCATATTTAATGTTTTTCACCAAGTGGTTAGTAGAACTAGCGTTGTTTACCTATCCTTGAAGTAAAGACTTATAAATGAAACTACAATAGGAGTCTCTGAGACTGTAATTTAAAAAAAAAAACAACCCTCAGATCACTCATTGTTATTTAGCCTTTTATTAAAAGCTAGATACAGTTATATAAGAAGAAAATAACTGTCTACTCACACTTGTCTGCTTTTATTGTAAGGAGTGTTAGTTTATTATGAAGTGCTTTTTCTTTCAAGATTTTTTTCTACTTTCCTCCTTTTACTCAGCATATATTCATGACAACCCTGCATAGTCAGCCTGTAAGTCAAACTTATCTATTCCTTCAGTGAAAATAAAGCGGAGTTATATTATAAAAAAAATCAACTGCAAATTAATAGTACAAGCTTACCTGTAGTATTAATCTTGGATTTGGGAGTTCTCTTCACTCTTTCAGCTGGCATCTTTTGTTTGGTTTTCTTTTTATTTCCTTTGGCTTTCTTCTTTTCCATAGCAAAGTCTTCGTCATCACCTTCACTATAATCTGAATGTTCTCCTGATTCCTCACCTACAGCAAGGAAAAGGGATGTCATCTGTTTACAGGAAATACAATTTACTATTGCTCCAGAGCCTTTTAATCACATTCTGGACATAAAAAACCAGTGTATCTTAAGGACATAGTAAAATAAATTTGCACATATTTATATACTGAACTGAGAAAGGAATAAGTTCCACAAAACATTCTGTATTTATAGAATTCTTTTTTGTACTTTAATAATGGAATTCCTTGATCTAAAGTGCATACAATAATGATTTTAACAGCAGAATTACCAATATTCCATGAATGTAGGATTAAAGATAAATTTAAGTGGCAAGCCTTCTGATTTTTACATGTTCTTAGTCATGACTACTTACAGTGGAAAACCACAATGACTAATTTCAGCTGTAGAAAGGATTTTATAGTTTTATCATTTAAAAGTCAGATATTAGCAAATCCTAAAAATAGTTTTCTATCAACAGGAATATCTGGATTATTCCCCTGAAATTTTATTTCACTGACAACTACAGTAAAAAATAAAAGAATGGATACAGACACGTCAACCATTAGGAAGTGAAAGAGAGATGTTGTACCCTACAGGCATGCAATACTAGGCTGCTATCAGAAGCAGAGTTATGAGGCCAGGCTGACCTCTTATCTGGTCTTACACGGTTTTCTAGGTGTTGAGAACTGGAGGAAGGAAAGAAGGGAGGCTACTTACTTTTTAAAATAAGCTTAAACAAAGCCCATACTGAAAGCACAAACACCTGACACTACTCCAGAGTCACTGCTTTGGTGCAAAACCCAGACAACAACTGGAAAAATGAACAGAGACCCTTCAAAGAGATGAAACTTTCCTGAACAAAGAGGGTAGAGAAATTTGCTCTGACATACTGCACCAAATGCAGCAAAGTGTTATCATTTTTGCCAATTTGGGCAGCGTGTATGAAAAAGTTCCAATGTTTAGATTTAGCATGCAACTGAGATGGTGCTAATTTTAAAGATTATGCTTCACAAAGTGGGGGTAGGGAAGATCCAGCAGAAGCTGTATGCATTGCACTGGAAATATAAACTAAATGTAAGGCATCACATTCAAAACACATCTAAGGAGCGGTTTTTCTAGAGAAGAACTTACTGGGAACAGACTCTGACTCAGAGTCAGTAGCTTGCTCTCCACCATCACTAACAACTGTCACTAACTTCGAAGGTGCTGAAACGTTAGATGCTGTTGTCCTTTGTCCACCATCATCCCTAGCTACGTCATCATCCGTAACCTGATTGAGACCTAGAAAACAGAAGGTGATCTAATTAATTCCAATTCACAGTAAATCTCTTCCTCTGCTCAAAAAGATGCAGGTATCTGAGTCTCCAGAATTAAATTTTTGTAATTTCAAAGTATAGTATACAGAAGTATATCATCAGCACTTATTTTCATGTGATTCTTATTTTAGTCTTTTTAGTAATCAAATCGTACTTTGTGGTCATGAAAGTTACCACTGTTTATCTGTAATCAAGTTAACAAAATGACAGAAGACCAAAAATAAAGCTGGAAAACCAAAAAAGTTTCCAATGGCACAGCAAATGTTTAGGTCACACTCATCAGATGCTTAGGCATTATGGATCCATTAAGGAGGTGACGGTTAAGTGTAGCTTCTTGAAGCAAAAGTAAATAAACTCTGCATCTAAAAATATCACATGACTGTTGCTTTTTCCAACTAACTTTTAGTGATGTCCAACAATCTCATTCAGCAATCCAGAGGTTTTCCCACTTTAAGACTGAGACCAAAATTTTAATGAAAAAATTAATGCATCCCCGATCTTTCAGTCTTTAAGATACTATTTTTTCCAAATAAATGTAAAACAGAAATCAATGGAAACGGAGATAAGCTACTTAAATGCATCTTGAAACTTACCTAAAAGTTCACCGTCTACACTGCAGTTGGTAAAAGGGGGTTTCCTATGTACATTTTCTGATTCAATATTCTTACCTGTTTTAGGATGCAGAAAACAAACAAAAAATAATTAAAAATATTAGTATTCAAAAAGCACATTACAAAAAGTCAAGATATTAAGAAATTAGATGACATTTTTATCTGTCTCTAATCAAACTGGATGTTTGGAAGATCTTATAGCATAGAAATTGTTCTCACAGAAAAAAGCATGAAGAAGACAGGCACTACCTAGAAATTCTCATTTCCTTATGACGTCTTGAAATAAAACATGAGTTTTGACCTGTTGCACTGTAAAATAAATTAAGACATTCACTACATATAAATAAGGAGTGTTGCACTGAATTGTAAAATAACCTTGTTCTTCTGAATTTTGCACCTCGAGGATATTTTTAGATTTTTCTTTGATGGATAAGGCTAAGGCAACTTCCAAATCTCTTTGATAAAGTTTGTCATCCAAGGATATCCTGTAAAAAAACCCAACATGCTAAATTATAAAACAATGACATGAGTGTTACAGATCTACTTCTGACTCATTGAATTTCTTTAAATTAAAATACTAGTAAAGAGATTAACATTTCAGTGCATACTTTATAGCATATCATAGTAATATTACTTGCTAAAAAGACTTAGACAAAGCATACAGTAATCTTTAAATCATACAATACTTAAAAGCATCATAATTACAAACACTGTGCATATATATATGCACTAATAACTGACATTATCAAAGAAAAAGGTGATTGCTTTTGTTTGAAATACCACACTGAAATGTATTATATACAACTTTACAACCAAAATAATCAGATTTCTTTTTTTATTGACATTGACTTTGTATTTTCTATCAAGCTGTAAATACATTCTTTTTTAAGGACTCAAACTTGTCTTTATGTTTCTCAGTTTAAGGAGTCCTAGCTCAGAACTATTATGATTATTTTGCACTGCAGAGATTTTGAGACAGGATCAGACATGCAAACCTGCTTCTGCACCTCTGCAGGCCACTTCCTGGAGTTTATTTAGAGCTGTCAAAAACCAGAAATAGCTTGCTACTGAGCTCAGGTAAATTTTCCCAACTGTATGCATAATTATGTTATCCCTTATTTGCCACTATACAAATAAATCAGCTGCTTAAAACTCTAGGGGAGAAAAAAAAGAAAAAACAAAACCTTTTATTGAAATCCAGCTTTACACAGAGTTGAACACATGCAATATTTCTTACCTTTTACTAGGTGTCTGCTTTTGTGACAGAGTCAACTCTTTCTGCAGCTTTTTTTGCTTTTCCTTTTTCTCCTTCTTTGGGTCCTTGAGCTGCGTTCTGGATTTTTTGCTTGAAGGTGCAGCTATACATGCAAAGTCTTCATCTGTTCGGTAAACGGCAACGAGCTTTAATGAGTTTTCTATATTCTTCCAGATGACCAAAAGGTCATTGAAGTTAATTTTATCACGTTGAAAATACACCAAAGATTAAAAATTAATTCAATTTTTAAAGAACACAATATCTATAACTATACTTAAATGTATTTTCAGTAAAAAGTAACAAAATCTCCTTTGCCTATGCTTTTATTCAAGAGGCAATGATTTCAATTTTTATTACGAATAAGGCAATAAAGCTTCAATGTCCAGTGTGCTACCAGATTTTTTATATCTTGAAGCTTACCTTTTGATATGCTGAACAGCGATAAATTATAATATTAATCACTGTCAATAAACAGGTTTAGAGTTCTTGGTGTTTTGGGAATTGCTCCCTTCTTAAAAAAATATTGGGTGCTCCCACCATTCACATATAGCCTCTTACCAAATACAATGTCTTTCTCCAATTTTCCAAAAAAATTACAAGGCATAAAAACTGCTTTTCTTCTGACTGAGGATACTGCACATCACAGTGCAAAATAAGGAAAAAAATCACTTATAAACTACGACAATTCAAGCACTACATTTAAACTAAAAATACGCACTATCCATATATGATTCACATGAGATCTTCAACATTATTTACTTTTGCCCTCCCCTTTCCATCAATTCAAATCATTCCCTTGATCATTCAAACAGCGTGGGAAAACACCAGTCAAACAACCAATCAACCAAAACGCCATGAAAGCAACCAAACTATGTAGAAAAATGTCTAACACTCATTAGGTGTTAGACGTAAAGACAGACTGTCATGAAAACAAACAGCCTGTAATCTATTTCTTTTATGTCCTTACCCAAAACCCCATCAAGATGCAGAGCTGTAGGAGAAATATATGTACAGATAATTCACATCTTGTTTATATTCTGATTTACAGTCCCGTGAACTGACAATCAGGAGGACCAACTACCAATGAGAACTGAGGCAGGGGGATAAATAGAATTTCCTGCAACAAGACACTGTGTATTCACCATTTTCCTGACATACTGTTGTTATTTTGGTTTACAGCCATCATATTCTTGCTGAATTAGGATATGTAACAGTGTGCCCTGGTTACTTCTGGTGAAAACAGTTAACAGCCTTCCCAATGAACTAATTCATCAAAAACACTGTGATGGTATTTTGGGTGGTTACGTTAGTGTTTGGCATTTTTTTGTACCATCCAAGAACATGCCACTTACCATCATCCTCCAGATCCCCAAACTGAGAATAATCAACAATTTTCTTGTTCCTGTGGCAGAAAAATCACACACTATCAATCCTTTCAGATGGAGCATCTTGACTTCCTAACACCTGATTTTGGGGTTAAATCATGTTTTACAAGACATATTCAAGTGTTTGTATAACCAGTGCTACTGCCTACAATAGTTACCAGGAATAGCTTTCGGATTTTTAAAAAAATCCTCAAATAACAGTGCTTTTTGTTGCTCTCGTTGTGGGAGCATTGCCTTCTCTTTGCATGCAAATGGCCTCAGATCTGCTACTGTGCCACCGGAATTATTTATCTCCTGGGTCACTTCTGGGCATTTGAAACGTGGCCTCGCTGCCGTGGGCCAGGTGTCACCTCACCAAGCAGGGGCACAGGCGGCACTTTCAGGCCCCCCCCTCCGCGGGGGATCCACCCGAAGGAGCCCACCCGCCAGGGCTGCTCCTTGCGGGACACAGTCGCCGCTGCTGCCCGCCCCAAGGAGAATTCCCAAGGTTTTCCTTCCAGCTCCTCCTCAACGGCCCCGCGCTGCGGGAAGGGCCACGGAGAAGCTCGGTCTGGAGGTGCAGCGATCGGGCGGGGCCCGCACAAACCGGGGCTGAG